AGCATGATAACAGTTTCCTCCTTAGAGACCAAATGAAATTAATATAAATATTGGTAATTAAAATAGAATTGGTAATTCGAACAAAATGTTAGTAATAACAAAAATGTTGGTAATTTCGAACGTATTTGTACTTCAAAAAAACATACAATCAAAAACATTCAAAAGAAACCGAAAACGATTAAAAGAAAGTTGGATTCCATAAAGTAACATTTTTATTACAAAAAAAAGTGAAAAAAATAGAGTTGATAATGTCAACTCTGTGATACCCGTAATTTCTTATCCTGCTGCGAGGAAATATGCCATAACTGAATATGGGACAGAATATGACCTTAATTTTTCGTATTACCATATTAATTCATGCAAGATTTCAATATTTTCTGTCACGTGGTCAAACTTCTATTGAAGCTGTATGGCAGCTAGTCAAGGAATTCCAACGATTTCACCACACATAACAGCCCTAATAACACACTTGTTTCAATGAAATTTCTATATAATAGCTCCAATAATTTTCAAGATAAAGCCAAATAACTTTTGCAGTTGTATGGCAGCTATCACAAGTGCTCATGAAATTTCAACAACTTTCAATGAACATAGCTACCATTTTACCACATTTAGTTTTGCATAATTTCAGTACTGTAGGTTACACGGTTTGTAAGATATAGCCATATAACTTTTCAAGTTGTATGACAGCTACCAAATGGAGCTAAGCAATTTTAATCACAATTGGCCTAATAATATATCAAACACAATGGGCCTAATAATATATTTGCTTGCGCGAAAATTCAATACTATAAGCTTCTGAAATTTCTTACTTCAATAATATAGCTTCTGAAGTTGTGTGACAGGTAGCCAAACCAGTACCTTGATCATACCCAATTTAGATAGCGTTCTGGCATCTACTATTATAAAACATATGTGAAAATTTGGTGAGCTTAGATCAATTAATTTTTGAGTTATCATTGGAATGAACGGACGAACGGGTGAACAGACGTTGGCATACTTAAATCGACTGAGAATTCAACGCTGATTAAAAACATAACATTAATCTGTATCTCAGAACTCAGGTCATTATTTCTTAGTGTTACAAACGGTAAGGCAAATTTAGTATGCCCTTCGAACATACGTACCGGTATAAAAACAGATAAAGTATAAGTGAACAAAAACAAGTAAAAACGTTTCAGTCGGTTTTAACCATGGCAATCTGAGTTTAAGGATTTGTTTTTGAAGCATTTAAAATTAGCTTTTATGGTTGTATGGCAGTTACCCGAACCTGTCAAGCCATTCCATAAAAAGTTTGAAAATATATGAGGGTTGTAATTGGACACGTGACTGTCAAATTTCATGCAGCTAACTTTATTATTTTACGAATGTTTAAAATAAACTATTTGAGTCGTAAAGCAGTTACCCGAACCCGTTGGCTGAATTGGCCCAATAAAAATAGGAAAGTTTGGCCGTATTTGATTTGTTCATTTTTGAGTTATCATGATCGTACGGACGGACATGTCTAAATCAACGCGAATTTTACGCTGAACAAGAATGTACATGTCCATACCGCAGGTGATTGTTAATTTTTATTGTTGCACACAACAATAAAAATTAACAATCAGCAAAATATCGCTGTAAAAATAGTAAAGAAAACGGAAATATCGCGCAATTTTAAAATTTAACAGTTATAACATTTTCATATGAAAACATGTATGTATTAAATATCCACGCACTTGAAGAATAAGTACGCATAAGAAACTTCGAAAAATATTACCAATTTGCCAAAAAAATTTATAGCAGCAAATAGAAACGAGATTTATATTTAAGTTCTTGCGAAAACAAATTTCTCTAAAAAACAATAAAATGCAAAATTATAGCAAAAGCGGCCTTGCGTATGGAATCAATTATAGCTTCCTCCGAAAGAAAAAACAAACTTATTATTATCAATAAATAAAGTCAATACAGTTTATGTAAATAATTTAAAGCAGTTATTTAAAATCATATAATACATGGATATTAAGTATGTTCTTGGAAAATCGTTTAATAAATAACAATTTTTCAAAACATTTTACAAATGACATTTGTTTAAAAAATTTTCTGGCTTTGCATACTTACAAGAAACTCTGAGATTTTTTGCTTTGCAAATCTGCAAATTTCTGAATTCTCAGGCATTTTGTAAAAATGCGTTATTGTAGACTAAATACCAAGTCCCATATAGTAGAATAGATAAGCACTTTTTTTAAAAATTTTTTTTGGAAAAGTGCTAAAAGTTTTCAAAAGTGAGTTCTTAAAAGACTTTAATTATAATAATCTTGTGCAACTTTTTAATTAATTTAAGGAAAATAGATTTATAAAAATTTTGAAAATAACACCGCCTTATCGGTAAGGTGTTGAACATAGGAGATTTTTTTTTATGATATCCAATGCTACTGATCATATAACATAATAAACTAAATTAATCTAAATATGCTACAGTTCATGTGATATACGTACATAAATACGCATACACATACTTATTAGAAACTTGTAAAGTTAATTTACAGTTATATAAATTTTGAATGCAATTAAAATTCAACCAAAAATTAATTTGAATATTTTGTATTAAAATTTAAATATAATTTTAATACAATTATTTACATTTTAAATTGGCAGGTCATTTTCAAATATTTTATATAATATGTAAGTTCATTAGCATATCTTGTAAACTCAAGATATTATGCTAATGAACTTACTCATAATATCTTGTAATTTTTTTTTTGTATATTTCGCGGAAAGTAAAGTAGCAACAACACTTAATTTCCCATTGAATAAGACTTTGGACATTACCTCTCATTAAAATATGGTACATGTTAGTATGGCATCATTAGATTGATATAAACATAGTAACTTCCAAAAGTTTTATACTACGAAAAACTGAACAAAAAAACTGGTTCGAATTTAAACTTTAATGAATGAGATAAGTTGAAGTAGAAATGTGTAGGAAGAAGATGTAAACAAATGACGAAGCTAAGCGACGTTTTGGAAATTTTTTCTAAAAATACTAATTCTAATTTCCATTCAAAAAATTTAAAACCGAATATTGTTTAAAACATTAAAAATTTGGCAAAATATTTTCTTAAAAATATATATTCTTAAAATAAAAATTATTTATACAGAATACAGAACAAATGTTACGGTATAAAAATATAATAAAGAAAATATAGCTGAATTTCCAAACACAAACAATAATGTAGCTAATGGAGTTTGTTTATAAACAATGCTAAATTTTAGCAACATAACAAAATTAGTACGTGTAGTGCATACTTAAATCATATGAACTGCTTTTATTTTATAGAATAATTAAAATTACGTGTAGTTTTAACTATTCTAGTTGGTATAGTTTGCAGTGTTACGTTTCGCATGTTGAAAACCCTTGAAAATACTTAATTGATATTTTATTAGGATTTCATTTACCTTTTCAGAATTTTTTGATGTTATAATTTTATTTAATTTACATAAAGTAATTCTTTTTAATTATTTCATACGACATCTACTTTTCTAAAATTTTGAAAACGGAATATATTGCGAAAAAAACAAACTGCTTATAGATTTTTTTATGATTAGCATAATTCAAGCGATTCGAATTGAATTCTTATTTCAGTAATTCATTTTATAAAGACATGCTCTGTTTCAAATTCAATTTCAAATATGATTTTTTTTTAAGTTAGATATGTATGTATATACTGATGTTTTTAATGTATTTGTAGGAAACAAAGGTACAAACGAATATAATACCAAAAAAAAAATGTTATAATTATAAAAAAAACTATGCAGCTCTAATTTTAATGTTAAAAAATTAATTTTGAACGCAAGCATAAAAAATATTATGTCACAATTATTATTGGTAAACTTTCAAGCGCTTAGAGATAGGAATTTTAACATTTTAGCTTTACTTCTAATTAAACTTCACTATAAAATAAATGTATTATGTACATACATACAAATATGTATAAATGAGATATAAATGTCGATATATACATAGTTCAGTTGTACATTCAAAAGGGCTTGCATATTTGTAATTTAGTTGTTTTTTTTTCTCTTTTTAAGTGAGTTTGGAATAAATTAAATGATTTTTTCTTTTAATTGAATATTTTGCAAATATAACTATTAAATTATATAAAACGGAAATATAACATTTTTTATTCGAATTGCGGTAAAGAAACTTTCAAAAAGTATTTTTTTTAAATAAATTTTCTTTTTGTTTTTATTTTTTGTTAAAATATACATATAAGTTTTAGCACGATATTTTGCAATTACCTAATTAATATTTTGAAAAAGGGAGGACTTTTTTACAAAGTACACATGCAAACCCGGATTTATATTGGCGAAAATTTTTACTTACAAAACTTTATAGAAAAATTGCTTTATACATGACTGTTTTCTTTAGGGTATTACGCCAGAATTAGACAAAGAAAATTCCAAATGCAAAATTATTTTATCATTTGCATGCAAAAATTTTAGTTAAAATATTGTCTCAATATTTTTGTCTCAATATATGTATGCTTAAGGTAATTTATATAGGTATTAATTTCTTTTCTTTTATTTGTAATTTATATAGGTTTCATTAATTAAAGGCAGATAAATAAGTTATTTTCAGTGAAAATAATTTAAAAGGTGTTTTACCTGTTTTTTAAGAATAGAATTTTCGCTTTTTCAAGGATTTCAATAGTTTATCAAAAGTAAGAAATGTTCTTTTTGATAAACTATTGGTTTGACCCTATCCTTTGTTGCTTAATATACTGTACCGCCAATGCTGTGATAATACGAAAAATATTTTGTGAACATGAAATAAGTTTTATATCTCTATTCACGGAATTTCTATATATTTATTCACTTCTATTTATCATTTTAAATAACGGAACCACATTAATTCAATAGTGATCTTTTATGATGATGTATATTCATTAAAATATAAAAGTATTAATATAAGTCGCAAAATAAATTATGACTTTAGATCCTTAAGTATAGCTATCTTTTTTGCATTTGCTTCCAAAGTGCTCACTAAAAAACAAAAACCTCACTTTATCGATCACTTTATTTTTATAATAATGACGATTGAATTTGAAAGTTTATATTTTAAACATAAAACTAATAACGATTTTAAATAAATGTATGTATATATATCATAAGTAAAATATTTAAATATACAAAAGCAAAATATAAAAAAAAACATTGTTTACTAAAATAAAGCTAAGGTAGCAACATAGAATTATATATTATGTTTTCAATTTAAATAATAAAGAATGAAATCATAGATTTTATGAAAAAACTTAACCACTCCCAAAAAGCAACTTTTTCTATATATTTTTTTTAAATCCATTTTAATTTAAAACCATGAACTATTGCACTAAACTGATAATATTTGCAAATATGATTGTATTTATTAGCAGTTATGATTTAATGTTAACATCGTGAATAGCATACAATTATTTGTTAAAACAAAAACAATTATTCCGTTATATTTATGTATGAATATGCCATTTAGATTTGAATGCATTTTAATGTACATTAATCTCTGATAAGTTCAATGTCTAAAGTTCAATTAATGCCAAACATTTTTGTTACTTCTATGTATAAATTTCCAAAAATAAAATGATAAAAAAGTTCACATTGAATTCTGTATTCAATTCATATTGACACTTCTGTCACAGTGATTTTTTTAATAAGTTCGTAACGGGTAGTTGTATATAATGGGTGATTAAGTTTTATTTGAATCGGGCCCATTTTACTTTTTTAGTTGGATGTAAGTTAATCATATATATTACGTAGTAATCTGTTGCAAGCGGTTAAATTTGAGTAAGTCCTTTTTTCTTACATTTCGACTAGATTTTAAGGAAAGGCAATGGGCAATATAACATTTAATACTTACTAACCTATCCAAGAAGAAATTATTTTTGTTTTTGAACAAAAATTTTCAGTAAAACAGTGAACTTTTCGTAAGGCACACTGCACTAAAGCCCACTCACCCAAACTTTGATTTAATGGTAAATCTATCGAATTGAGTTCTTGTATTTATAACGCCATGGAGTTAAAACCCTGGTGTAAATTCTGCACACAACGAAGTAGCCGAACCGAAATTTCGTAAATACGAGCAGCCACGTATGAACAAATCGTAATCTTTATTGAAACTGGCAAGTATAACTGCAATATTTTATTTGTCTTCGCAATAGCAATAATTGGCCATTGTTCGTCCGTGAAAAACTGCGTAGTAATATCAGAATAGTAAAACATTAAAATAAAAAAAAAGATAAACCAAGCAGCACGATCTTCATAAAATAATTCAATAGTTTATTTTTACATTTGAATCACTTCAACTGTGCTGTACACAGGTTAATTTACCATCAACAAATTTTTTGAATATCTATTGATATCAAATTTATATCTAATTGAATTCAACACACCATTTATCTTTTTTTTTTGTACTTTTCAAAAAAATTTTTGAAAAAAGTGCTTATTAGTTTAACTCTGTCCGTTCGTCCGTCCGCCGACATGTTTACAAAACTTCTACACCCTTTAAGATAGAAAGCTGAAATTTAATATGTACATAGATCTTTATTAGAAATTTACTTCCGTAGAAGAAAATTTTTACGCATTTTTCCCCGTTTGCAAATTATACCCACCCAAAACCCAAAAAAATTACATTTTTTAACTATTTGTTGCATTGAACCCCGAACTTTTTTGCAAATTTTCCAAACGACGAAAGACAGTGACTTGCTTCTGCTATCGCGGCATATTACAGTTACACTTTAAAAAAGCAAAAGGGCCGTTCAAATTTACCGTTATCTACAATTCGTTCTTTCCAAATTTTGGATGTCGTTTTTTTTCTGGACCCTCGATTGTAGGAGCCTAAAATTAGCAGCTGTTAGACACTAATAAATAGTTTATTTTGTTAAAAAAAAGTTTTTTTCCATCTTCACCCCCTCTCAAGTTATCGCCTCTTGAAATTTGTAAAATTTGAATTTGCGACACCTTATATTTCCGAAACGGCAACCTTTTTTAAATTTTTATAAGAGCAAGAAGCTAACGGTAAATTCCATGACATTAGAAAGTTGAATTTTAAAGATCCCCTCTTTATATTAATTTTCTTTATTTCAAAGACTGCATAAATCGTTGATCCTAAATATATGCAATCCTAGAAATAGTTTTGTATATGAATGAAAATAATTTTAATAGTGTGGTAGGTATACATAAACTGTATTTAAAAGCAGTACTTTCACTTGTTGAAGGGAAAATTTTGTATATGAAAAACAATACAAACCATCGGTTTGACCCAACTTTATTTAATTTAACATTTGAAACAAAAAGTATTATGAATTGACCACTCAATTTGTAATGCCTAAAAATAGAAATTTGTTATATAAATTTGCTACACATATGTAAGCATGTTTTTTTGATTATTATTGGTATAATTGTGCTTTGATGTCAACTGTTCTTGTAATAAATACTAAATATCTCTCTGTAGACGATGCAATACAACAGACGATTCAAAACACTCCAAACTGCAATCACATAACTACCAATATAACATGTGAGTAGTTATGTGATTGCAGTTTTTTTTTTTATTTTAAGATCAAAACATTATTCACTATCACTCTTACATTTTTCACCAACTATAATAATTGTAGATTAAGTATAAATCAGCTTAAATGTCATAAAAAATCGTCTCTGATTTCAGAGTTGCAGTAGAACAGTATTGATACACAATTCAGCATACCATTGTTTTATTTACTGAATTGTGTGGCAATGTAGTATTGATGCAATTTAGAAGCCACATTTTATATATAATATTTAAACATAACGATTTTGATTAAATATTTTTGAGACTAATGGGAAATTTTCTAAAGAAAAATTATAAATATCTATGGATAAACCATGTTAAATTAAGAATATTATTCTTTTTTGTAAGGATATGTTTTTGTTTAGACAAAAACTTTAGGAATATTATAAACTGAAAAATCTTATACAAAATGTTTGTTCAATGTCGTGGACAGAACTTAGCAGTCACAGAATTTAATAATTCATGTATGTATATTATGTTTAACAAACCAGATCATGTATCAAGAAAATATTGTAAAACGCTTGTTGTAGAACGTAAAATAATAAAATTTTAAAAGAGCATATAAAATTTATTACTTAATGTGCAAATAATAAACTTTAATGGTTCAATTTTTTTCTCAATGCAAAAATCTTACAAAAATACCCATATTTTTTTTGTATTATTTCTTTAAAAATTAAAAATTATTTAGCAGTTATTAAATATGTATCTGTATTATATTTACATATATATTTTAAGTAATTTAATTTTACTATAATTAAAATGCAACATTTTAAAAATATTTAAAAAAACATTCGATCAAGAGCCATAAAGTGAGAAACAAACAATAATGACAATGTTATTGTAAAAAAAAAAGTTTCAATTAAAAAAAGAACATAATAAATATAAGCCAAACACCAAATACGTTAGATTTTTTATACTTTTTAAAATAAAGCATTTCTGAGCATTTTTAAGCTTGATATAATTAAGTTTTATGTTCCTTTTAATTCAGTCCCTTTCACTTCTTATAAATATAAAAACTCTAAGCAAATAAAATTTAAGCATAACATAAAAAATAATAATACAAGTATCATGCTGGTTTAAATAAAAAAAAAAATGAAGTTGGGTCTAACCAATGGTTTGTAATGTAGCACTTTTCCTTTCAACAAGTGAAAATACTGCTTTTAAAAACAATCTTGCTATGTACTACATTATTAAAATTACTTTCATTCATATACGAATATATATATGTATTTCGAAGATTGCATACATTTGGAAAAGCCAATAGTTTCGAAAATATAAAATGCCAAAAAGGATAGGTAAACATGTTTTTTCAAGTTGTATTTCTAAAAATCTATGTACGTTTTAACATTTCAATTTTCTATCTTCAAAAGTGTGAAAATTTTGTAAACATGTCCACGAACGGACGGACAGAGTGAAACTAATAAGCACATTTTTTCACGTTTTTTCTTCGAAAAGTGCTAAAAATAATAGTCAGGAGTTAAGCGGCAAGTAAAAAAAAATAAAGATATATAAAAAATTCAAAAATACTGTCAAATTTTTACATTAAACCCCAATGTCTGTTATACTGTATAATAGTTTTCATACTATGGAAATTACTTAGTTTTTTTTTAAATTGTTAACTAATATTATACTACATAACATTATTGTAAAAAAAATATAAAAGACATCTATTACATATACTTATTCATATATAACGTTACTGTTAACATAATTCAAAGAGTTGACAATTTCTAAAATACATATAGAAAACCAGGAAGTCAACAAAAAAAAAAAATACAAAAAACAAAATGGATATTGTTATGGTTAACAATATTTAAGTACAATATCTAGTCTAACTAAATCATTAGTAATTGAAAAACACAACAAAAACAAATAAAGAAAATACAAGGAAATTTCAATTGTAATTTAAAGAAAATTAAAATGAAAATTATATAGTGGAAACGCTCACTTTTTAAAACCAAAAAAAAAAAAACAATAATAAAATCATAATTTAATTATAATAATTTAAAATTTTGCAATGGCAAAATAATTGTACTTAATAACACAAAAACATATAACACAGTCATCTCACTCAATTATTATAATTAAGTATGGTTAAGATTAAACTTAATATTACTGAGTTACTAGTAATATTAAGTTTAATCTTAAAATTTGCCTTACAATTCAAACATAGTTTCAAATTACAATTGTGTTAACTGTGTTTAATTTATGCAGGTTTTTGCATTTTCGGACTTAATTCTTCAAAAAGTAAGTATACATTATTATGTAAAATCACTCGAAAAACTGTAAAATTTCAATATCTCAGAGTTTGATAATTTTCACAAGTCCATTTCAATGTATTTTGTTTTATAAAAAAAAGGATATATCAAAACTCTGAAAGAATAATCCCAAAAAAATATCAAAGGTAGTTGCGCATAAGTTCATAAATGCGTTTACATGTATG